ATACTAAGCATCTCTAGGACTGAGGCATCCTTTGCCTTCAGATTTTGCCTTCAGGCCACAGTCCAGCGAAGTACTTAAGCCTGAGTAGTATTATCAAACTCAACCTATGTCAATGGGATTGGCTCATATGCTTAAATTTAAGCACGTACTTAAGTGCTTTGCTGGACCAGAGCCTTGCTTGTTCTAGTCTATGGTTACCCTCTAAATGGGAATTATCTATCAAGCACAATTCAGATGTGCAAGGGATACCCATTGCTTATCATGCAGGAGGTTTTGTGATACTGGATGAAGCAGCTATCTGCAGGACATCAGACTCCACGTTTGTCATGTAGACAAAACAGTCTGAGTTCAACAACAGCTATTCAGACTTAAGTATCCAAGATCTGCCAGTCTGCAGCACACTTACTCAAAATTATTTCCTTAAAACTTTCTTCCAGTGGCTTTTATGGTGATAGTTTAGCACCTTCATTGAGATGGTACACATCCAGTATCACAGTTCAGAGAACATTTCTTTTCTTAATTGTAATCCATGATCCTCTTAAAGCTTCACATTTCAAAAACCTCCTTTCTGGAGAACAGAAATTTTATTGATTGCTTTTCCTATATCTATCTCCAGTTCCTCTTTCATTCTAGATACTCTCAGTAAAGACCAAAAATAGCCCAAGTTACCTTGTTACCTTGTTGTAAATATAAATAGACCCTGAGCCTCACCAAAGTGTTGTACTATTACCTCTATCCTCCAATCACACAGCAAATGCAGATCTAGTAAAGGAGGAAGAACTATTCCAGTAAAGGCTCTTAGTATTCCAGCATAGGCCCCTAGTATTCCAGCAGATGCAAACATTTTGCTGCCTTCCTTAAGAAGAAGGAAAGAAAACATCCTAGGCAGTCTCCATGAGAATAGTTTGCATGACTTTTGAGTAGCCCGCTTGGAGCATCCTCAGATTTCTAGTCTGCAAGAAGGCAATTTTGAAATCTGTTCCAGAAATTTGGATAGTCATTAAAAAAAAAAAAAAAAAAAAAAAAGAAGAAATCTTCTGAGAACAAGAACAATGGCAAAAGAAAAAACTGGTAGATGGGAAGAAAAACACTGAAGGTCAAACTCAGTATCAGGATCAAACACTTATTAGCTCACCATAAGTTGATTAAAAGTAATTTTAGACTCACCTGATTTATAATCCTAAGGGTCAGCTCCTTAGGTAAGACACTGGCTTTGCTACACTAGAGCTGGTTCAGATTGTGTAAAGGTGACTGTTCACATCAACTCAGATCCCAGGAGAACATTTCTGTGGAGAAAGATGGCTAAGAATTCCACAGCAGCTACCCCAATTCTGACCACACTTCATCAGTGTCAATGTAGAGCTAAAGCATACAGATAACACCTATCAGCCACTATGTTTCAAGGTCCTTACAACCAGATATGAACCCATAATTTTCATCCTTTGACACAAGCCCATAATTTTCAGTCTTGTTTTTAAGGTAAGGGAATTTCTAACAACTTGATATTGTTATATATATATATATATATATATATATATATATATATATATATATACACACATATATTATATGATAATATATATCATATTTGTGGAGTGTTGTGATTATTTGTGCACGTGTTCCCCTCAAATTAAATTTTGGAGCTTTGGATTTTAAAAAAACTTATTGTTGTCTGTACACATATACACCCCTCTTTATGTATGTACATTTGCTTATGAATAGAGCATTTTTTTAAAACCAAAATCTCCCTCAAATATGCATACAATTTCTAAAAGATGCCATAATCATACAATAAATAATGAGCTCTTAAAGTAGCAGAATGGCAGGAACAGATAGATCAAAGACCTCCCTATGCTAATATCCATATAAGTAATAAACCACGGTATTTCCTATCCTGTAGTGAGTGCCACGGCTCTGATCCATAGGGTCTCACATTTTTTGCCTGCATACAGGCATGCACAGGCTCACAGAGCAGATGTGAAAGTCACAAGTCTCTAATGTAATTCATGCTCCAGTTCGGCAACTACGAGGGTATGCTAAAGACAACGCTGTGACTAACACAGCCAAGAAAATCCTGAGAGAATAAGAATGACTATTAACAGTTCTGAGAAACTCTTCCTCTGGGTTATTATCCCATCGAGAAATATAGTGGGGTTTAGTGGTCTTAACCAAACAAACAGCTCTGAGAAACAAGACATATTCCCTCTGAGAGTAGAGTGAATGAACAACAAAAAAACATCTTATGTTAAAAGTAATTTGAAACATTCGTGATACTGTCAGTGAAGTACTTGGACTTCTTCCTGCTTTGTGCATCAGGTCAGAGTTTCCATACTCCCAAAGGAAACTAAGCATTGGCTGAAAAAGAGAAAGTCCCATTTACTGTTATCTTTTCACAGCTGGCTTCACTGAACAGGGGTGAGGCATGGGCACACATAGTGATTATTACAGCCACCAGAAAACAGTGCAGTAGCAACTCAGATGGGTACTCCTGTTTGAATTATTTACATCTGAGACACTCTGCTCACCAAAGTAACTTAAATAGAAGTTGTTTCAAGAATGTATTTTCTTGTAGCATTTTACAACCCCTTGAGCTAGATGGTAAATGAAAGATGTGATCCAGGTCAGGCCACTGAAAGAAATTAAGTAAAGAACTACCTAATGGCTTAGGATCATTTTAACATTTCAGGAGTGTCAAGCTCCTTTTTTTTAAACACCACCTCTTTACACTGCCTAAAGAAACTTTGCAGTCTTTACACAGGCTAAATTCACAAAGTAACACTTTCTTAATATACCTGAAGTAACGAGCAATAACTATTTCCTCAACTGCCTCTCATGCATTTTAAGCTGTATCCAAGCAAATCAAGTGATGAGGAGAAGAAAGATAGTTCTATGACTAAGAATCAAGGCTACAACTCAACTCCTGGTACTCCCACAGATTTCCCAGCTCGGTCTTCTGTGCTCCTTTTGTCTGTGAAAAAATAACAACAGTAGAAATATTTCTAATAGCTAACATTTAGATTTTCTGTGTTATGTTTCGTACTGTGCTGAGACAGTGATTGGCACAATCAAGCACTGGTTGCAGGCTGAAGTTCTTTAACATCAGAGCAGCCCTCAAGAGAACATTTGATAACATCACTCATCTATCTGCATTGTCATACAGTCCAGATGGTTGCAGTATGTAGGCAACTGGGAACCAAAGCAGCAGGAGAAGTACATCCTGCTGCAATTTCCTTCTGGTGCTAATCTTGATGCATTTAGCATTTAGATTAGTTTGTTGGTTAGGAAGTCTACAGCTCTTGGTAGATGCACCCAAAGAGACCTAGCAAACAAAATATACCATAGCAACTGTGTTCACTGGCTTGCCAACTAGCAAATGACCAGATTTGCCCATAAAAATTCTCTAAAAGATTACTGCAGCTCAGCCAAGTGACAATTCCCTACTGTGCAGAGTGAATTTTGAGTTCCACAAGGGTGACATTCTGTTGCAAAGGGATCTGTTACTAAAGAAAAACTCAGAAATCTGTGTACTTTAGCAGATTAACCATTACTATGATGTACTAACCCAGAGACAAAGAGGAAACTAGACTTCTTCCATTTGGCAAATGCACTTTTATTTCTGCATTAGTTGTAAGAGCTAAAATATTAAGCATTCTAACATATGTACCCTGCCACACACATTAATTGGCATACTGGAACCATACTGCAAATAAAGAAAGTCAACATAAGTAATCATCTGTGTATGACTACAGAGTTCTCAGGAACATACTTGTTATTTTTCTGTGTTACAGAAAGGAGAGTTTCAAAAACCTTGAAAAGGGAAAAGGCAAGACTTGAGTGGGAATCTGATATGCCCAAAGAACTATAAACTGTCTCTCTTTAGTACAGGTAAGAAAAATCTAAACACAATACAAAAACCAGAATACAAACCGGCATATACAAGGAAGGAAGAAGATAATGACATTTTAAAGGAAGTAGCTCAATCATATAAATAAATTACTAAGTCTACAACTGTAATCATACTTATTTAAAGCCAAGTTAGTATAGATTTTATGGTCTTGAGAAATTTACTCAAATCTAAAACACATAATCACCAAAAGCACAGTATGACACTTGACTTCCTGCATAGTTTAGTCACATATATAGCCTCACTGAGAACAAAGTACACAACTGTAGACTGTGAATCACACCCAAATTTTCCACCCATGACTATATGAGGGAGGAATTTTTGACACCAATACAAATACTCAGTAGTATAAATGTGACTACACATAATTATTTTATCTGGACTACTTGCTAGCTATCTATTTTGCTGCTATAGATGATTCTTTATACTGCATAAATATCACCAAAATTATTCCTCACAACGCTAGCACTCCTGGTATTTCCAGTTCTTCCACCAGCAGGGTTTTTATATTCAAAAAACCTCACAATGGGGCAACAGAAATGGACATTAAGAGAACTACAAGAATATGAGTGAGAACATAAGTTAACTGTACACATTCCCACTTCCCAGGGAAAATCACTATTTAGGGAGTAAAAATATAATCCTTTTCGCACCCAAACTGGCCTGTGAAGGTGCATTCAAAAGTGTTGCATGTGGGAACAGACATCTGTGTTCTATCTTCGTTTGTCATTTTGGTGTCTATTTCCAGGAAAACTGAAAGATAATTTTCAAAATTTGTCCCCCCAAAATAGCAAAATAGACTGAGTGCTCACAGACTGAACTATGCTCACCAGCAGTTCTCAATCATCTTGCAAAAAAAAAAATGTTTCTCTATGTCTATATTTGAGTAATTTAAAATCTTTCTAATCTGAAGAATCTGAAGTCTCTAGTTCAACTGACAGGTCTGATTGCTCACATATCAGCCAATAAAGATGCATTTCATGTGGCTATTGATTTCCTATTAATTTACAGAGCAGAAGGTTTCTGCAGAGGAAAGATTCCATTTCTCCAGTTGTAGTCTTCTTTAAAAAAATGTTCTGCAGAGAAAAAGAAAAAGACAGTGAAAAACATGCCGTTAGCTGTCGTGCAACTTTCAGTCTTTGTGGTAAGCACAATTTTGTAACTCGATCTCAGGTAACTTTGATTTGTATTAAAAGTAATAATTGAGAAGACCCACATGCAACAAGAAATCTTAGCTTGGTGTTTCTAGAGATCTGTGACTGTACTTAGAGTGATTACAGCACAGAGAAGCCATAAGCAGTAATCTGAGTTTCCGACACAAGGATCATCTCAGAACAAACTCATTGTATAGCGACAAATTAACAGATGCAAACTTCGGTGAAAACCAAACACTCAGGAATACTTGTTTACAGGCACACTGTTGCATAACACAAGTGTAAACTTGTTCTTTGGACAAGCCTTCACAAGGAAGTAATTTGTAGTTGCTTATATACTTATGAGCTCACAAAGCCACAGCAGTGGTCCACAGATAAGGGGGAAAAAAATTAGGTTAATCCTACTTGTTTAGGCAGGGCCCATTCATTTAATAGTCTGGCAGATGATAAACCAATTCTGCAGAGGATCTCTAAGGGACTTTATGCAGTAGAAACTAAATACTTGTATTTTAATAGCACAGGCATGGCAAAAGCCCAAAGAACACTCCAGCATGCCAGGAACAAAAGCAAGCATGGCAAGCATTGCACAGGCAGGCACATGCTCAAAAAAATAACGCAGCCTCACAATGGCCAGTCATGTTAACCCAGGTGTGGCTATTCACCATGAGGGACACTGCAGTGGCTACAGCTGCAGGAGATACCCTTGTCTGTACACGGGTGCACTGCCTTCAAAAACCTTTCTGTGTGTGTTGGGACTGACTGTTGATGAGGGAATAGTAGGGCTAAATACACAGGATACGAAAACAAAAACAACAGTGACAGTTATTTCCTTGCTTTATTGTTTTATGTGCAGGTATTAAACACAACTTTACGTCAATCTACAGCTGGTGTTAGCCAGTAACAGTATATGGATTTACGGCAACTAATAATCCAATATTCTACACGGAACAAGAGTCCAGGTTAGCACTGACTACAAATCCTTACTCTGCTATTTTGCGTGGTAATAAGGATATCTTCAAATCCTTTCCTTTAGTTAAGCTAGAAAACATGGGTCTTCCTTTTGAAACTGTGTGTCCAAAGTAAAGCAAGTTGTATTGACTTACTACGTCCATCACACTAGGAGCTCTGGATTCTTCTGTTTCACAACCTATGCCGGTTATCTTTAAAAAAAGGCTTCTGGGAATGTCACAAGTTGCCAAGACACCCAAATAATTTAGATCTTTTAAAAATTTTACACATAAGTTTTCTTAGGCAAGGACAGTAAATGCAATCTAATTAAAAAAAAAAAAAAAACAAACCCAAACCTAAGCAACAGAATTAAATGTCTGGTTGTGATGAAGAATCCTTATGGACATTTGTTTCCCTAAATTATGATCTATGGGAACGCAGTAACTGATTCAGACTGAAGTTAAGTATAATTTCTAAAAAAACCCAACCCCCCAAATTCTCAAACTTTAAAGTGAAAGTATGAGTGCATAGTCACGTACAACCAATTCTGAGAACTACCATTTTGCAAAGTCTGGGAACCACTGCTGTAATGCATGATAGCAACTTATAACTATCAAATTAGCAACCACGTAAAGCAATAAGTTATGCAGTCCACAAGAAATAAATATTTGAAAAGTGTCTGATAAAAAAGCAAACTGTATAGGCTACTGTTTACTAGCCTTTTGACCCCCAGAGAAAGAAAGCTTATGCACTTACATCTCATCATCGTATTCCTTTGGAGGTGATGCTGCAATGACTAAGTCAATCCAATCCTGAAAAAGAAACACACAAGGACCACCATGGAACATTAGATAGAGAATCAGCAGTATAATCTATTCCTGAAAAACCACAGGGAGAAGCAGAAGAGGAGGACCATTTAAAGATTGAGCTGTTTGATTTCTACCTTGAAATTAAAGAAAAATCTATTGTTCTTGCAAAAAGATTAAAAACAAAATTCTAAGAATTATTCTGTAGTTGGTCATCTGAGCAATTAATACAGTTCTTGCTGAGAAAACACTCACTGTAGATGAAGCACAGTGTTATTTGTACATTGAGAAATCAAAGATAAGCTATTATTAGAAAATTTGAATCATCTGGCAAGTAATTTTCAATATCAAAGAATGATTCTATAGATAAATGTAATATAACCACTCAGAATGTAATGTGTTTAAATACCAATCTTGATGCGTGGCTGAATGCCACGGAATTTCACAGTAAATTACATGCCTGATTTTCAGAGATGCTACATACCAGAGTATCTTCTGGAGTTTTCATCTCACTTTGATACTACGTGACATACCTGCTACTTCTGATGTTTGCAACCTTATCTGTGTTGCTGTGACAATGTCATGATAGAAGAGTATCTCTTACGATTATTAGAGGTAGAAAAAAGTAGTATTCCAGGTTACTTACCCCACCCACGTTCCAAGCTTTTGCTAGAGTTGCCTGTGCTTCTGCCAGCTTGCTGTCAATTAATATCTTGCCATTTACAGCCAATATTTCATCCCCTTTCACTATGCCTCCTAGTGAAAAGACCAATATGAAATACATACCCACAAGCAAAAAAAATTCTGTGTCTTTTCTGAGTCATATTTGTGCAGTGATGAGTATAACAAAAAATGTTTTCACTAGATGTGAAGGTCTACACCAAAAATTAAAGTTTGCTACAAGCAAATGCAAAAGGAATTTTTAGGCATGGCAAAGCCAAACTAATCTCTTATTGGTAATGACCAGTAAGAAACTACTTCAATAAGATTTTTTCACAGTAGCAGTTCATCCATTTGGGTAATCCAGCTGTACAATTGACAAACTGGGACAGATTGTAGCTGTTACTACTATGCCCCATCTCTGGAAGGGTTCAAGGCCAGCCTGGATGGGGTTTTTGAGCAACCTGGTCTAGCAAAAGGTGTCCCTCTCCCTGGCAGAGGGCTTGGAACTAGACGATCTTTAAGATCCCTTCCAACCCAGGCCATTCTATGATTCTACAAAAATAGCTCAATGAATTAAATTACTGAAGGCATGAAGTGGCATTTGTCAAGTGTTTGCAGGTCTGTCATTCCTTTCCAAGTCTATGAGTAGTGCTTAGTACTTTGAACTGGTTTTGATTTGCTAATCTGGAATGAAGCACAGTCAGCTAACTGGGGCTGGATTTGAAGCAGAAAAAACACAGATGACCAGGGGACAGCCTTATATGAGAGATCCTAAAAACACTGAAGGGTCAAAGCCAAACAAAGCCAAACAGAGTACTTAGGAGATCAAGTGGCTGAGATGTTTTCACAAGTAAGTGACTTGAACTTAGGTGCAGGCTGGGACAAGGTCAGCAATGCAAGAGGATGTTGTTCTGTCTACCTGATCATTGCAAGAGTTCTCAGGGAAAGGATGAGAGGTACTTCCCACCAGGAGTAAAGCCTAGGTGCATTGGTGTGCACGTTCTTGAGCCTTCTAGAGAGCTAAGCTGCAAGCCAGAAGGCTCTAGCCTTTAGTCAGGTTTTGGGAGTGAAGCCAGCTGTTTTACAAGACAAATTACTAGTGAAAGTAACATTAAGAACAAAACTCAATAGTATAGTGTAGCCGTAGTCAGCTAATTACTTTGAATATGGGAGTACTGCATATGTCCTTGCTTGGAAATGGTGAAATAATGGAGACCATATTCCTTGCTTAACAGAATACACCAGAGAATCAGGTGTTGTTTTTTAGAAATATTACATAATTATTATCTTGAAACCATGAACTTGTCTCTGGGGTGCTCTTTGGGCTGAGACAGAACTTGGCTCCTTGGACAATCTCAGTGTGTCTTTCAATACTAGGCTTAGCTATGAAGTCAGCCAACAACTCTCAGCCAGTGTGAGGAGGCACTTTGCTGCAGCATTCAAATTCCCCACATTTGCTCACCATGTTTGTCTGCAGCACCATCTTCATAGATGGCAGACACAACTATCTTTCCAATTGGAGAATCAATTCCTCCCTCGACTGCAAGGTCCAGTGATCCTTCCTGTGAAAAACAGTTTTATTCAGAAAGTCCTTTCAATTTTTGCCATTAACAAGAGCTTAATCTTTCCTTCTTTCCAGTAAAAGATACTGTGCATCAAACACTTACATGAACCCTTTAAATATCAAACAAACAATACATTAATTACCTTTTTAATTCGTAATAGCCGTACATCTTTTCCCATAATCTGCTCTGGGGTGAACTATGAAAAGATATAATCATTAGTCATTTCCACTTTGGAAACACCAAACAATTATGCTGATCTATGTAGCTCCTGGGAGAAAAGTGACCTTTCCCTCCTCTAAAATAGCGTTACAGGAAGATCAGAACACCATATCATCTTTTCCTGTGTTGAAGACTCCTTTTCAACATGACTAGAAGAGACAAATACACAAGGCCCAGCAAACCAACAAGCAAGAATCTTATCCCCTCTTAGCCCTCAAAATCAAGGATTTGGCTTTTTCCAGTGTATTTCATATTAAACAGTAAAGCATATTTAAATTCTCTCCTTACCATTGAATATGGATCAAAATCTTCCACATACTTCTGGAAGCCCTGAGAATAAAACAATATTTAATTGTAGAAACATCTGACTTATGCACACACTTAAGAAACAAACTCCATTTATTTATTAGTGAGAGAATATGTAATTCTGTAAGCTATGAAAGAAGACAGTAAATGGAGAAAAGCACAGAAAGACAGCAAAGAGTCCATCCTGACAGTCAGAAGACATTTCAAAACCTTATGACAGATCAACAGTTTGAGCTGGTCATTCTACGGAGCAGATCTGACAAAGAGTTTACCACTCTGTCATCTCCACGGTTCCTCTCTACACCTAACAAATCTTGAAAGCATCATGGGCAGGTATGCTCTGTCACAGTCTTCTGAGCAACATTTCTTGGGATTATCATCATGTTGGATGCTAACAGGTAGAAATTAAAGGCTCCAATTCAGCTGTCAGCAGCACTACTCCCTGCTGTCTGGGTTTTAGGACTCTTTTTCAGACCCCTTCTCTACTCCTTGCCATGGAGTTTCAGGGATTTGGCTCCATACCACAAGCAATTGCAGGACAACCACCATTTTTTGTATTCATATGGTTCTACGGATGACTTAAGTTTTGTCAGGGAGTGTCTGAAATGCAGAAGATAATATTGCAGTTAGGCAGAGAAAGATTTAAGTTTTGAGAGGACCCAAAAAACCTAGTGCCTAACCCTTGTCAGACCAAGACTGCAGGGAAAAGCAGGAGTTACCTTTTCTGCAAGGATGGGAGTTTCTGCATCAGCAATCAGGAATTAAGGGTATTTGAGTGGTGCCTTTTTGAGGAGGATTAGTAGCTACTGGGTGAGATTGTATGGCCAGGGCTGGACATTTATAAAAGTTCTGCACTCATCATGTTTGTTAAAGTAAGCACTTCGGGATTTAACAGATATTTTTACTTAGGCACTTAGCTGCTGTATCACTCTTGTGGCCTCAAGCTCCAATAACCTGGGGGCATGGCAACAACACAGAACCCCACAAGCCTTTGTTGACATGGCAGGCAAGCCAATATATGACACAGATGAGCAATTCAGTGTGTGATCAAGCCTCACATTTTCATTATTGTCCTCTTTTCTACTGGATCCATTTGATGACAAAGTCTATTCCACTTTCAGACTCAGCTAAGCCTTTTTCAACTTGTAAACGGAATGCACTGTTTAAGGTCCCTCTGGTATGTTTAAGGGCTGGCTGTTAAAAGGCAAAGCTGCAGCAGAAAACATCAATGCCTCATGTGCTATACTCTATCAGCTCTCTCAGCTGCCTAATTTTGATGTGACTGTCAATGATCCTCTGGGATCTGATCTCATCCTTACCAGTTCTGTCTCACAAAGTCAAGGAGCACTACTGCACAGGTCTGCATCACAGAACTTCACATGTACAAAAGTGCTGCCACTTTGTCTCACCACACAAACAGATGACACAGCAGAGGTGGTGATGACTGTTGTGTGGCCTGGCAATCATTCCAGAGACACACTGAATTGTACAGCTCAGATCCTGAATTTCCTCAGGCTGTCTGTCTCTCTAACTCTGCACAACTGCAGAGCTTTTGCTTACTGCCACAAGTAATTTTTTGTTTCCATAGGGAAATATGTATTAATCTTTTGGGAATAGGAACATGAATGATGTTATTTAGCATTTAAATTATGGATTGCATTACATTTGTTAACTGCTAACTTTGAGGAACTAAAAACAAATGGAAATTTCATCACAGACATCAGCAAGGGTAGAATTTTGTCCTGGGGGAAAAACCCCAACCACTCATTCATTTACAAAGTGTATTAGTATTATGAACAATTTACAATGATAGCAACTTAAAAACTAATACTTTGAATAACTAAATTTGTATTGCCCTTTGGAATCATGGCTGAAGTAGACATCTATGGTCTTGTAGCAAGCAACTAAGAGAAAAGAACTCCGATCTCAGCCAAGTCACTAAGTCGTTATGCAATCTAAAGGAAGTCAGTGAACTCTTTGTCCCAGGTTGGCCTCATGAAAAGCAGATGTTGCCCTTGAAGAAAGTTTTCCTGGGAAAACAATTTTCAACAAGGGAAAAAACCCCAAAAAACAACCAAACACACAAAACCCCACAACAAAAAAAACCCTGTAAGCAAAGTCATAGAAACCTATCCTGAGTTGGAAGGGACTCACAGGGGTCCATCAAGTCCAACTCCTGGCCCTGCACAGGACAACCCCAAAAGTCACACCATGTGCCTGAGAGCATTGTCCAGACACTTCTTGAACTCAAGAGTCTTGGTGCCACGACCACTTCCCTGGGGAGCGTGTTCCAGTGCCCAACCACCTTCTGGGTGAAGAGCCTACAATCGAAACAGTCTAAGCCACCCTGACACAGCTTCATGTTGTCCCTTTGGGATCATATCTCTATGTATCAGAGATATGGTCTGGATCCAATAATGTACAAATATAGGTAAGATAGAATGAAGACATCCACTGAACTGCAATAAATCTTCCCTGAAATGGGTATCACAAATTCAGGAAGCAGAGAGTGGACTCGGTATCGAAGCAGGGACTAATGAACTGGGTGAAGTTGCAGTCCTAAGCCTACCCTCCCCCTCCAGAATATTTCAGGTGAAAGAGTTGAGATCATTCTAATTCCTGATTTACAATAAAATTCACAGGACTGAACATAAGTTGAATCCAGAACATTAAAATGTTTGATTGCACTGAAACAATTCTCTGTCTAGACTTGCAGATGAAACATGAAGTTATTATTTAAAAGGAAAATCAACCCCAAAACCCCAAAACACAAGGACCTAAACCAATGGTACTGCTCACTGGTTTCCAGCATGAATAGGCAAAAGCAATTGAGACCTGACTGATGTAAACAAAAGAACTGAAACTCATAACCAGATATAATAAAATTTTACAAAAACCACATTTGTTGAGAACACAACATTCATATATTCAGAACATATTGACATTCAATGGAAAGTGAATAACCTCAAAGTTGGATTTTTCTCAGTCAAATCCAGTTTTCCCTTCTAGATCTAGATTGAAATTGATCAAAAGAAGAAAAAAGTCATTATTAATCTTAATTGTTTACCACTTAAAAGCTCATACTGTGAGCTCACTATTGTATACCAACCTTTTCATATAACATGGCAATGCATCTAACTTAGCTTGCACTTACAAAGGTTTTCTGCACAGAAACTGGCACACTTTACAGCAGCAGAGAAGTTAAGTATGAAGTTCACTTCTTCAAGCAACCATCTATTGAACCACCAGTCAAGCAAAGAGGAAGAGATGAAAACTTCATCACTATGACAGAGGAAAGGAACAAAAGTAATAATAGAGTGAGAAGATCCTACACAACACAGGAAGCCTGAATGAATAAGCGCTTTTCACTGATTTCCTACCAATAACTAGGCTATGATAATAGCTCTATTTGTTAACCTAATAAAATATTTTATTACTGAAAGCACTGCAACTGGACACTAAGAGAAACAATAAAACCTTAGGAATATTAAAAAAAAATTGCCAGTATAATATTAATTATAAGTGTTCAACTATCTTACAGGTTGCACTTAACCATATAAGTAGTTACAAATGGTTCCAACCTAAAGGAATTGCTATTCTCACATTCTTCATCTGTCTAGATGAAAAGGAGCCACAGGCACACACAAAGCTTACGAAGACTAGCAGTTCTCATGCACTAGGGCTGTCTTGCATTTTCTGTTTTAGAAACTGAGCAACAGGATTAGAAAAGAAAGTTTTAAATCTACGATCAGCCAAAACAAGAAGTACCACACAAAACATGGAAAATGTTATTTTACTTGTTTTTTGTTAGATCTAAATGATGAATTGTAAACCACCATCCTTTTAAACATCTCTTGTGGCTGCAAAAGAAAGAAAATCGCCAAACCAGGTATTAACTTCTTGCTGTAAATAAGTATCACCTATTCATAAATTATCTTCCAGAGACTGAACCACACTTGCAATTGTTAGTGCTTGTTCCCTGTATCATTTCAAAATGAGAGGACACACACAGGGAAATAGTCCTGTATACAAAGCGGAAAGAACTCTAGAGGAACTACATAGATGATGCACATTTCCATACCACAAGATTTCTTAAAAACATTTTCCATGACTCCTTTTACACCTCATTTCTACAAAACAGTGCTTGGGTCCCTTATCCATGATTTGTGAAAAAATAATTGAAAAAAACCCCAACCCAAAATACAGATAAAATGCTAGACAAGTCGTTTCCAAAATATTGAAAAGCCATGATAAATACATGTTTATGCATTTAAGATTTGCTCTGCTACCAGGGATTTCCTATACTGAAAAAGTGAATTCCATTATTAAAATTCTTATGAGTCTGATAAGCTGAAAGATGAGATAAGTGTATTTGGGCTCATCCTGAAAGAAAGAATTACCTAAATATCAATCATTAGCATAGGTTTATTCTACTTAAAGAAAAACTCCTCCAGAATTGAATCGAATTATTTCTATTTTCTTGCTTCAATGAGGGTATCTACAAGTAGTTTCACTATATCAATTAATAACTGATTGATTTTGTTTTATTGTGTTTGGCTTCAAGGATTTTAATCCCATATTCATTCTGTTTTTCTTTCAATTCCACTACTTTAACAAAATGGTGCACTGTAGTTCAGAGTCACTTAAAGAATTTCTTCTCAGGTTCTAAATATTTTCAAAAAGAAAGTGGGCTAAACCCCCAAATAATTATACAAAACACTCCTCACACCTCTCCAGCCTCCATTCAAAATCCTGCAGCAAATTAGGTAACACATTTAAGTGTTCTGAAACAAGAACAGCTTTCTATAGACTAAACTATGGCATTTATACTTCCCAACTCAGTTTGCTTTAAAAAAATTACTATATATAAGTTTCACTAATGATTCAATCAGTATCCTGTAGTCATACCATTATTTGGAAAAATATATTCCAGAGTTAATGAAAATTTTGCGGTTTGCATTTAATTAATACAAAGACTGAGCTTTTGTCTTGAAGGATTTGTAGGTAAGTTTGGAAAGATTTTC